ATTTGTGTACTAACCATAGATTTTTATAACAGATGCTAACAATAGAGCAGTGGAAAAAGAGAACATGTAGCAGAGGTATCTGACCAAATTTGGGAGTAATGAATAGTTGTCCTTAGCAAGGCTGTACTAATGATTTTGCTTGGGATCCTAAAAGCAAAGATTACCCGTGCAAGATTTTAACTGGAAAACTCACGTGATCAGATTCATGCTTTGAGAAGACAATTTTGTTTAGTTCTAGAAGTAAGAGCAAGAGGGGTGGAAAATTGGTACAAGGGAGACCATTCACTATTATGGTAAAGTAGATAAAAGATGGTTGTGGAGCAATAAAAAAAGAAATGAGATTTGAAAATTACTTAGGAGATAGATCAACCAGACAGGGCGAAGAGTTGATTGATTTAGAAAAGATAACAGGAGAAGAGGTACCTGGAGTGTACAGCTGAATAGAGCTGGCGGGGTCTATAAAACAGCTGGAAGAGGGCTGGAGACTTAGTTCATTTTGGACATTTCAAATGTGCTGTGTCTTTTAGCCATTCGTGTGGACATGTCAAATAGGTGCTGCATACACAGAAATGTAGCTTGTGGTACAGAACTGCTCTAGGACATATACCTGGGAGTGATTGCTGAGTACACAGAAACTGCTCCAGGATATATACCTGGGGGTGATTGCTGAGTACACAGAAACTGCTCCAGGATATATACCTGGGGGTGATTGCTGAGTACACAGAAACTGCTCCAGGATATATACCTGGGGGTGATTGCTGAGTACACAGAAACTGCTCCAGGATATATACCTGGGGGTGATTGCTGAGTACACAGAAACTGCTCCAGGATATATACCTGGGGGTGATTGCTGAGTACACAGAAACTGCTCCAGGATATATACCTGGGGGTGATTGCTGAGTACACAGAAACTGCTCCAGGATATATACCTGGGGGTGATTGCTGAGTACACAGAAACTGCTCCAGGATATATACCTGGGGGTGATTGCTGAGTACACAGAAACTGCTCCAGGATATATACCTGGGGGTGATTGCTGAGTACACAGAAACTGCTCCAGGATATATACCTGGGGGTGATTGCTGAGTACACAGAAACTGCTCCAGGATATATACCTGGGGGTGATTGCTGAGTACACAGAAACTGCTCCAGGACATATACCTGGGGGTGATTGCTGAGTACACAGAAAGTGCTCCAGGACATATACCTGGGAGTGATTGCTGAGTACACAGAAACTGCTCTAGGATATATACCTGGATGTAACTGCTGAGTACACAGAAACTGAAAAGATAGTTGTGGCTGAAAGGACCTGGGAAGAATGTGTAAGAACAGATTTATGAATCTCATTCTCGGGGATCTGAGTATCTAATGGCTAAATACAAGATAACTGAACAGAATCTGAGGAAGAGTAACTAGACCTGTGAGAGTTGAATCAGAAATGTTGGGGTGGGGAATGGGGATGAGTGGCATTAAAGAAATCCAAGGATAATTCTTAGGAATAATCTAGCCAACATTTGAGTCTAATCAACGTTTTATTTCACATCAACATTCTGAAATAAAAGAATATTGTATGATAGCCCTTGATTTTTGTAACTTAGATGTTATTTGGTGCTCTTCATGAATGTTTCACAAAAATGCATGTTAAGCATATTATCTGCTTTGGTATTTGATATCACATATACTGCTTATAACTGAATTTTGCATTTTGAATCCAAAGGCAATGCTGAAGCATGCTTCAGGGAACCATTTGTTACACAAGTTCTCACCTCTAATAAAGTATTTAAATTAAAAAAGGCAGAGCTAAGAGAAATCAAACCATATTCTGTTTTCCTCTGTTCTAATAGCTACCAACCAGTATATATAAAGAGGTCCCCCAAAAATGTATATTCACTAACAGCTGATAGCTCAATTTTGAAAATGAAATGTATTTTAATCAACACCGTCTTTATAGTTATTCAAAGTATGTGTATACATTTTGGGGGGACACCCTATATTTTACTTTATTGAAACAGATACTTGACCATATCCCTTTGACACTCACCATTCCTGTGCATGGAGTAGACAAGGAGTGCCAGGGAGTTAATACTCCCCCCTCTCTCCAGAGCAATCCTCAACCTAGCACTGTTGAGAATTGGTAAATATTCCCTCAACACTCCCTGCCTTGCCCATCAAGGAAGGTAAGTCTGCTGCATGGCCTACATTGTTTCTCAGAGTTCCAAGGAGGACTGAACCCCAGTTGCCCCAGTGTAATCTGCTCAATAACACACTTTTAAAAAAAAATTTCCTTCCTTCCCTTTGTATCTCACTTCTCAGTGCTTTTAGAGCTCAGCTCTCATTAAAAAACAAACAAACAAACAAAAACACACAAATTCTGTTTGTTACAATTCTGTATTAGTGTATTAGCTAGGGTTCTCCAGAGAAACAGAACTAAAGAGATAAATGGACACACACACATACACACGTAAGGAATTGGCTACACAATTTTAGAGGCTCAAGAGTCTCCAGATCTTCAGGCTGAGTCTGCAAGCAAGAGACCAGAAGAACAGATGATTTAGTTTTGATTCTGAGTCCAAAAACCTGAGAACCAGAATCAATGTCATTTCAGCCTGAAGGCCAAGGAGCCCCAAGACCCAGGATGCATCAATTCCAGTCTAAAGGCACAAAAATAGCCGGTGTTTTAACTTACAGCCCGTCACACAGGAGGAATTCTTTTCTTCTTGGGGCAGGGTGAGCTTTTCTATTCAAACGTTCAACCCATTGAATGAGATCCACCCACTTTATGTTGAGCAATAAGCTTTGTCAAGTCTACCAATTTAAATATTAATGCCCTCCAGATTAAGAAGTACAAATTGGTAGTTGAAAAATAGTCACTAGGGATGTAAAGTACAGCATAGGGAATAATGTTGTGATAACCATGGATGGTGATAGGTAGGTACTGGAAATATCAGGGGGAACACTATAGAGTACATGCTTGTCTAACCACTAGGCCGTGCACTTGAAACCAATACAAAATAATATTGAAAGTAAACTGTAATTAAAAATTAAAAAGTAATAAGTATTAATCTCCTCCCAAAATGTTCTTACAAAAATACTTGTAATAATGTTTGGCCAAATATCTGGTTATCCCAGGATGCAGTCAAGTTGACATATAAAATTAGCCATCACAGGCACCCCAAATAACACTATTTTCCCTAAATCCATACTTTTCTGATCTTTCTTCTGCCACCCTTTTTTCTGGAAATAAAGTTTGTTTGTATTTATCTTGTCAGAAGGAAATTAAATTTTGCTATATGTGTACATAGTCAAATTTTGAAAGATCATAGACCTCAGTTTGCCCAGAATTATTATGACTCACAGCTGTTACCGTGCTTAATTGTTAATATTTTCCCTTCACTTTAAAAAATGTTCTGCTTTGGAGACAATATTATATGACCATTCTAGTCAGTAACTGTGATAATAATAGAAAAATGTGTGAAATCTTTTGCTGTTTTCTAATTAAAAACATGATTAGTATGTGTCATATTCTTCAAATTATTTTTCTCCCTTGGTAATTTTACCTGTGGTTATTTACCATAATATATGCCGCATGCCTGTTTGTACCCTGGGTATTATTGTTGATTACCTTAAGTGTATTTTCTTGTTTAAATAATTGAGAAAGGATGAGTTTTAAAAGTATAAATAATTTATAAGTATAAGGTCTTTCACAGGATCATGGTTTCTTTTTCTTTTCTCCACTGCTTTTCAGAGAGAGTAGAAGGGGGGGGTGGAGAGAGGCACTGATGTGAGAGAGACACACCGACTGGCTGCCCCCCACACACACCCTGACCAGGGCTGGGGATCAAGCCCACAACGGAGACAAGCACCCTTGGCCGGAATCGAACCCAGGACCCCTCAGTCCGCAGGCTGACCCTACAGCCATTGAGCCAAGCTGGCCAGGGCCATTGGTTATTTTTCTATATGTGACAAATCTGATTATTTTCCTGAAATAATATTCTAACCTAAAAATTACACAGTTGATTGATATTTATTTAATTGGCTTCAAAGTCAGAGAGTGTGCATAACCCCAGGGTAGTTCCGTTCTTCGCAACTAAGGAAAGGATGAGAGTGATTTTGTCTCTCGGGGATGGTCAGAGCTCATGCGGCTTATTGTGGAGATAAAAGAATGAGGCAAATCCATGTTGACTGTGGGACACACTATGCCAGGACTTAGCACAGTCTCATAGAGAAATGAGAGTGTTTACATTGTCTCCTTTCTTTAGCTTATTTTCCATTTCTTCTATGAACTATGCATCTTTGTGTTTATTAAAGAATATTACATGGCATAAACTTATAAATGTAAACGTCTTAAAGTATGCTTGAATCTTTTTCCACTAGGATGGCTTTATTGCTAAATGGAAATAAATAATTTTATAACAATTATGTTGTAGCATATACAACACAGTGTGAACTTTTAGTGATGTTCTAAATAGCTATTTGAGATGACTCGCTGGCTGTACTTTAGAGCAAGCAGCATGTGCTAAGTGCTGCACTGCTGCATTTTCAAAAGGCTTCTGCATGATGCTCTGAGATAGCAGTTGATCTTGAGTTCTTTGTGGGTTCCTTATTATAAGTTTCTGCTATTCCTGCAACAATGGAAGTGTTGTTATTCAAATGCACATAAATGCATCCAGTCCATAATAATAGTATTCATAGCCGTCTATAAATAGTTGAAGAAACAATTGTATGAAATGCTTGATATTCATCTGAAGCCCCTTGTGCAATCTCACTTTTAAATTCAGATTTCAGAAATAATACAGCAGTGGTGCTCAGAAGATATTCAGATATTTGTGTTGGCTTCTTATGGACAGGATGGTAGCTTCTTAAAATTACATACTCGTCTCAAATCTAAGAAATCCCTTTTCAATAGACAACCGTAAGAAAGAGCATGGGCGCACAGCATGATGTACAATTACTAAATGTATAGTTTTATATGTTTAATGACCTTTTCATTTTCTTTTTCTAGATACACCATCAGTTAAGATTATACCATCCACCCCTTTTCCACAAGAAGGACAGCCTTTAATTTTGACTTGTGAATCCAAAGGAAAACCACTGTAAGTGATTTAATGAGCAATGACGATTTTCCCATTTTCTTCTGTTCTGCTTTGATTGCAGGCTTTAACTGCAGAAGTCCACAGCTCTTGTCCTTTCCTGGTGGGCAAAGTGATCTCTGGAGCAGAAACCCCCCCCACCCCGAACCATGTCTTCATTAAGTGTCTGTGGAAGTTTGGTCTTTTTCTTTGTCATCTAGTGAAGTTTCTGGGAAGGTTTCCAGCTGTGATTTTTTTTTCCCTAGTAAGATATTTCAACCTGAAAGGAGTGTAGGCTTAATCAGTCACTGTTTACAGGACCAGATTGATAAAAGCTCCCATGAAAAACTTTGAAAATATTAAAGCATCCTCAAAAAATGCCCAAGTTTTAAAGTTAGATGGGAAAGAAACTTTTTCTTAATAAGGGAAATCAAGTCTACATTTCTTTTATAGCAGCTCCACAAACATAATCTGTGAGTGTGCTGATGCTTAGAGGGAACGTGAATGAAAGGGGTCACAAACTCAACAGTTTCAATTGTAAAGTATTTCATTGTTAGAATACATGAGCCCTAACATCCTTTTAACTCTAAAATTATACTTTTTAGCATTCATGTTTATAAACAGCAAACTCGTAGAAAATCTACTATTTAAACAAAAATCAAATCAGAATACATTATCCAAAAAAGAATTATTCAAAGATTATTTGAAAGCCATTTGATCATTCTAATATAGTAAGATTGTAGGTCTAGTGTAAAGTAATTTATTTGATTTTTAAAAACTTCCAAATGAGTTGCATTTTGGTTTAAATTTTAAGGAGAGGGATTTCATTGTTTTCTGTATATAACTATAGGGATACCTTCTGTGCAAATCAAGTAAAATTATTAAGAACTTGTCTTAATAATATTTGTTATTTAAGTGTAGATTTCATATATTCCATGATAAATTTTTGTAAAAGAATTTTAAGGTAGAAGTTTGAAATTTCAGCTTCCTCAATTGCACGGTATTGTACTTTTTAGCACATGAAGCACAGTCACAGTTTTGGCATTTTGAAACTGCTTTCTTTCAGTAACTTTTTTCGAGAGACGTAAATATGCAGATTTAAAGAGCATATTGTGAATTCGTGTATTAATTTATTTTATCTTTTTAGAACATTTAAGGCATTTTAAACTTTGAAAACATTTTTTTTTCTTAGTAGCTTTACTGCATATATCCTGCACAATTCACTTTAGTAGTTTGTACCTTCTGATAAGATTAAATTGCTTACAGCAACATTTTTCAAGTGCAGTGTGCTATCAAAATGTGACAGCGCATTCTAGTATTAAAGTTGCAACGAGAGCTTTTGGCCGCAAGGTCAGTACTGTAAGTAGAGAAAGAAGTGCAGCAGACCGCAGTCAGCTTGAGACATACTTAAGTCCTAACGTTACTAGTGATCCTTCGCACCGAACATGAGGAACTTTCCAGCTCTCCCTTCCGTTTCACTGCTATTCCTCCCTCTTATTACTTTCCAACTCTGTGTGCTCTTCTTCCCTCTCTCTTTTTATGCTACTGTTTTGTTTGCTCATTTCTGTTTTCCCTCATAACCTCAGGGGTGAGCATGTAGAGATATGAAGGAACATGATCAGGACAGGGGAGAGCAAAACATTTTTGCTATTACTTTCTCTCCATAGTTCCGCCCCCAAGCACATGTGTGTGCATTTGGAGTATGTGTACAGCTTACACAGTTAAACGAGGTGAGGATGGGAAATATAATATGCAGAATGCTTGGAACAAATACATCCCTGCTCAGACAGCATCCGTTTGCCTGCCAGTGATCTATTCTTTGGTTCTGTATTTACTTCAAACAGTAGAACAGCATTTTATTTATGTGAATAATTAGATTGTGAGGTCTATGTAATTAGATATTTAAGTAGTCCATTTCCATTAGCTGAGCTGTGGCTGAATAGATGCACCTATTGAGGGTCTGTCTTTCAGCTACTTAGGAATAAGCTTGTCTGTGTAACACTCTTCTGCACTGCAAATGGATGACAAGTGTAATCATCCCTCATTTGTGTATTTATTCGAAGACTACAAAGGTTCCAGAAGTTTAGAAGATAGAAAAGGTCTCCTTTCTCAGAAGGATCCTGATTAATATCACTTTGCAAATAGGTCAAAGAAATAAGAAAGGCTCCTTATCTTACAGAAGAGAAAACTGAAGCTCAACAAATGTAAACCAAATTTTCATTATTCACCCATTTCAAGTGGATGAGTCAGGATTTAAACTTAGTTCAATCATTGCCCTAAGTTTACATTCTTTCAGCTATTTTCTGTTGCTTCCATTGCTGAGTCTAAATTGTCAGTTATGTTAGCCAAAGTAACTTTTGAAAAACTAAGGTTTTCACTACTATAAGGAATCTAATGAATAAACTAAACTGATGAACAAAATGGAACCAGCAGCATGAATACATGGAACAGACTGGCTGGTGCCCGAGGGGAGGGGAGGTGACTGGATAAAGAGGTGAAGGGATTAGCTAAAGAACATATATGCACACCCCAGGGACATGGACACTAGTTTGGTGAAGGCCAAGGGAGGGG